TCCGAGGAGGAGGTGATTTGGTCCGGCAGCATTTGCATTCGCTGACGTTGAAGCTGCAGGATGAGCTCATCAAGGAGTAGAAGAGATTGCATTGATATTAATTTATTGATTGGGATTACTAGATATGATATTTTACAAAGTCCATTTGGGTAAGTACCAAGTCCATCAGTGGATGTCACGGAGAAGTTTCAGTATGAGGGGATCTCTCTCCTGGAGTTTTGCAGCACTGCAAGGATCAGCTCCTCCTGAGCCAGCTGAGCTTCCATGTTCCTTCGACGTTGATTCAGATTGCAGAAAGCTGACCGGAGGTCGCGATGGTGACCTCCTCGGCCATAAATCCCGTTGATCTGCTTCCCCCCTTGTGCAACAAGGAGAAAGTGGGAGGGGGGGGGGAGGGGGATCAGAGATTCACCACTGTAGCGGCATGGCGGCATGTGGTGGGAATCCCACCCCAAGTACCATAGGAGGGTGGGTCATTTGAGAGTAAAAGGCGGGGGGTACAGGAGATTGCGATCTGCAGGGTTCCCAGCAGCAGGACATTTTTGGTCTAGGGTTTTAGAGTATAGTAGTAGGAGTAGTAGTAGTAGTATTGGTTTATTATTGATGTCCTTCTGAACGCACCGCGCCCACTTTAGTTAATCTGCAGAAAGGGGTTAAGATCTATGTTTTAAATTCACAACCGGTCATAATTCAGTAGATACTACCCGTTCTAAATGAACCGTTCCGTTTCACAATAAGAGGGCAACCCAGCATTTTCATGTGAAGAGAACGGGTGGTATAAAAGTATTGTATATGCCGTGAAGGGTTTAGGGTTTAGTTAGGTGGCCGGCTTTTCCCGAGGCACTGCAGGCCGGCTTTTTTGAGTCCCGAGGCATGCTTTGAGGGTTTAGGGTTTAGCCAGGCCCCTTCCCGAGGCACCGGGCCCCTTCCCGAGGCACCGGCTTCCCGCAGCGTATTAGGACTTAGTGGAATGATCAACAACCGATCAATTTAGACACATCCCCTTATACTCAGGCCGCGCTAAATGACTTTGTCCCAGGGTATATGGGGATCAGTGTTTAGGGTTTAGGGTTTAGGGTTTAGGGTTTAGGCCACAAGCAATGCACACAGCGCCAACCTCGAAGAACGACAAGGAGACTAGGGGGGAGGAGGAGCTACCAGGCCCAACAAAGATGCAAGATGGGTACTCTCTCACAATGTCAATGGATGCAGTCAATTTGTGCTTGATCAAGAAAGAAATGGGATGCTACCGAGTGTTCATGACGAAAGGTGCAGGGGAGGGGAAAAAGGGTAAGAGTGATCTTCGCCTTGTGACGCTAGTACATGCGGACCTTCTCCCTCGTCCCTCCCCCCTGCTCTGCCGCCGCGCTGACATGTTGGAAGAGCAGAATCTCCAAAAAGGAATACAAGTTTTACAGATCGGAAAAAAAGAAACGATAGGGATTTAGGGTTTAGGGTTTAGGACCGGGCCCCTGACAGAGGCACCGGGCCCCTGACAGAGGCACCGGGCCCCTGACAGAGGCACCGGGCCCCTGACAGAGGCACCGGGCCCCTGACAGAGGCACCGGGCCCCTGACAGAGGCACCGGGCCCCTGACAGAGGCAGACCGGGCCCCTGACAGAGGCACCGGGCCCCTGACAGAGGCACCGGGCCCCTGACAGAGGCACCGGGCCCCTGACAGAGGCAGACCGGGCCCCTGACAGAGGCACCGGGCCCCTGACAGAGGCACCGGGCCCCTGACAGAGGCACCGGGCCCCTGACAGAGGCACCGGGCCCCTGACAGAGGCACCGGGCCCCTGACAGAGGCACCGGGCCCCTGACAGAGGCACCGGGCCCCTGACAGAGGCACCGGGCCCCTGACAGAGGCACCGGGCCCCTGACAGAGGCAGACCGGGCCCCTGACAGAGGCACCCGGACCGGGCCCCTGACAGAGGCACCGGGCCCCTGACAGAGGCATGCTGCTCTGCGGCGCGTAGGGAGAGCGCAAGGGGACCGGAGGAAGCTGCGAGCAAGAGGTTCGTATAGTTCAAACAGCTTTCTAAGCATGGTACTACAGTATGATGAGAGCGTTCGCAACCTGCTGTATCGGAGATCATGCCAATACACGCAGGGCGAGCGCTCTGGAGGCCACGTCGAAGAGGCCGCCGACCTCGTCGAGAGGGTGAAGAACTTCGCGAAGCGGTATCCTGGTAGTAGGACAGCTCATGCTTGCAGAGCTGAGGGGGGATGCACCCCCGACGCTATCGCTGAAGCCATCCGCTCAACATGTCGGCAGGCGAGACGCGACCTGTTTGAAGACTCTCTGAGGGAATGGAGCTCAGAGTCGAGAGCATGGTTTATACAACAGATGGAGGAGGCCAAGAAGCAGAATGTCGAGACATACATCGGCGGGCGAGGGCGCGCCGCAGGCCCCAGACACGCCCGATCGCAGGGATCTGGGCGCGCCGACTGGCATGAGCACGGATGATGCGCAATACCCCAGTGTGTACAATACGTTCCCGACGGTCCGTTATGACGTACGGGGCGGAGAGGAAATGGCTCCCGGATGTAAAACATACACTCGCCGACCTCCTACACGAGAAAGCGTTTGTCGAACTCCTACCCGAAAGGCCAAGTGATATAATCAAAAAGGTTTACACATTGCAATCAAAGATGAGTGTATTGAGCAGAAAACAAGAGGATCTATATCGTGAATTGAATGAGTACGATCAATCTGGAGGTCGCAAGAGACACATGGAAATAATGCGAAGATTAGAACAAACCAAGAATGATGACAAGCCAAACGTCAAACGTTCATCCCCGGATGAAGATGATTCGTACAAAACTGAACAAGAACGTGACGAGGACGCAATAAATCAAGCAGAATATGATAGGCAACGAAACGAATTCCCTATTGAACCAAGATCATTCTTGAGCGATGATGAATGGTCTAGGTTGACACCCGATGAAAAGAAATTCGAGGCCAAAAGAGTCAGGATCATCAAGATGAACGATGTGTTCTACCAAGAGATGCTCAAAATATACGAGACCAACACCGTATTGAAGGATTTCTTGTTGTCTCTGCAGGAAAAGTACGGTGAATGGAACATGCCAAAATCGGGTCAAAATTTCTATTACGCAGAAGGATCATGAGCGACGAAATGATATACATTTGCTATGAAAGGTACACTGCGATATACACACGCAACCAATTCATGCTATTCGAGGTCGACAAATATGACCCTGACATCGACACCACCATTCCCAAATTCAAGTATCATCACAAAACCGTTCAAATGATCAAGGAATGGTACGAAAAGATAAACAATGAAAGACATATGCAGCTTTGGAAGAAGATGGTCAAATGGACATTGCGCGAATTCATATTCGTACCCGATCTCATGACTCATCCAAACCCGGATCTTCTCAATTTGGCGATCCCTGATAGAATTCCAATCAGTATGTCATCGGAATACATTCTACGTGGTTACAGATCACCTGATTTTCACAGATATCAGACCTGGCATGACAAATTTACAATTTGATGAGTTCATCGATAAAATGAATAATATATCATATGCGGAAGACTGGTTGTTTAATGAGCCCGAAAGGAACATACTGCAATTATTCAAACCCGAAGCCATGATCTTCACGATGGCAAGAGCTACGACCGCGCACGATGTGTTGAGTCGAACACTGGATCAAATAGATACAGAGATCAATGGGTATCTACCCGAGATCGTTGTAAAGACCTTCGTTCTTTTTAAGGCTGCGATACAAAGGCTCCATACAAGCATGAAGTATGCAATATGGGACATCAGAACCATATACAACAAGCTGATAAGCTATTACGTTCATTCAGAAAATTTACCCAGTCACCAGCTGATGAACCCGTTCTATGGTGACACAACCAAGGATGAGACAGATCTAAAGGATGATTTTTCCAGGGCATATATGCTATTCCGACAACAACAGCTGAATCGTATCAAAGCAGGCACCCATTCCGATAGATATACGATTGACGATGATGGGACAGGCAACGTCGATTTCCTCAGAGAAGCAATCGCCGCTATAGTGGCGGGTCGCCTGAGCACAATAGATTCGATCAACCACATTCTTCTTCCCACCATCAGGCGCGAGGTGACTACCAAGTTAGACGACAAAAAGAAAACAATCCAGTATTACTACGGCAGCCTCTTCCTCATGTTCCTCAAATCAAAGAACATCAGGCGCGCGATAGACCGGATGAAAGACACGATCGACATTGAGGAGGGATACACGTTCTCGATGAACGAACTCATCATGCCCGACATCGATCCATTACCCGGAGTCTTGAACACTGAAAAGACCCTGATGGAGCTTGTGGGAAAGACCAATGATAGGATCCGCCTCGCAAGGAATCGCATACTCAACGAGAAGCTGATCATCCTGCGCGACTTCCAGATCAACGAAACCCTACCGGCGCTGCTACAGATGTCCGAGATCTACAACAAGGTGATGGACAGCATCGCCACGCTGTACGGTTTCTCCGGTGCCGCAACGATGTACCACATCATCAAGTCGGTCTACCACGAGTTTGCAGTCAACGGGAACAAAATGAGCGTCGAAAACGACAAGCGGGTGAACGATATGCTCCGTTCCTACACTCTGAGCATCCGACATGTGAAGGAGAAGGAGGAGAACATAGGAAAGGCCATCCACGCCCTCCTCTCAGCGGTCGAGGGCATGATAGAGCGCGTGAAGATCCAGAACAAACCCAACGAATCCGCAAAACAAGCGAAGGCCATGAGACACGTCATCGACACAATCAAGAACCGCACCAACCATGCCAACCCCATCGTTTCAGCCCGCTTCCAATTGGGGCTGGAGGATCCTGATGGCATCTTTCTCGGGAAACTGAAGTCGACCTCCGATGCGACCAGGCCAAGGCGAGCGCGGGGCAACAACTCCGCGAGGGCGCGATACCGGCTCCTCGTGTCCATCCGATCGCAGATCATTCGGCTCAACAACACCTTCAAGTCCATTAAGGAGGAGCTCTACCACATCAGCATGAAGGGTCTGGAAAACATCGCGATGGAGAGGCATACGAAGAAACAATCACAGACTCTCCCCGCGGGAACAGATAAAGCAGGGTTTACGCTCGACCCAGCGCACGTCCTACTCCACGTGTATGAGGTTGTGAGGCAAAGGAACTTAGGGTTTAGGGTTTAGGGCGCCGTTATTTTCGGCAGCATGGCTCCTCGTCAGGTGTAGGGGAAGCCGCCAGGGCGCCAAGGAAGCTGCAAGCAAGAGGTTTGTATACTTCAAATAGCTTTCTAAGTATGGTTCTTCAGTATGATGAAAATGTTCGCAACCTGCTGTATCGGAGATCATGCCAATACACGCAGAGCGGACTTGTGGATGCCTCTGTCCTCGAAGCTGATCTCGTCGAGAGGGTGAAGAGCTTCGCGAAGCGTTATCCGAACAGCAGGACAGCCCAGGCTTGCAAGGCTGTGGAGGGATGCACCCCCGACGCTATCGCAGAAGCCATCCGCTCGACATGTCAGCAGGCACGACGTGAGTTTCTGCAAGAAGCGATGACTGGATGGAGTGACGCATCCAGAGAGTGGTTTATGCAGCAGATTGAAGAAGCCAAGAAGGAGAAGGTCGAGACATACACCGCCTCAGCAGGCAACGAGGTGACCATGCCGTTCACAAGGCCATATGCAGGCTCTAGCAAAATTGGTCTTTTTTTTTCTCCTTGGGAAGGGGTTCATATACACACTTCCATTCAGCTACCCCGGTTTTTGCTCTATTACTGGGGGGTAGTGAGACAGGGATAAAGTAGGGTGGGGTGATTTGAATTATACTGGCGTGGTACCCTGTCCCCCGCCTTACTTTTTGAAGCACTTCATTTTAATTGTTTAGTCAGCGCTTCAATCGTACACATCTACGTACGGATGAAGTGGCTCTGGTACAGTCTGTACTATTCTTTTAAAGTGGTTTCGACAGGCGTCTCGAATCAGCCTCCACCCTAGTGACTTCCTTTGTCTGGAGGGGTAGAGGACCGAAAGATTCTCTCATACCCGTGCATTTCACTGTATCACGGTACGTGGGGGTGCTAATGGAAAAGAAGGCATTTCGATTGCCGTTGGAGCTCACCACGCCAATACCCCCGGTTCCCCTTCATCACCTTTACGAAAGGCGGGGTGGGTAGCTAGCAAAGAATACAAATCTACCCTTTGATTCAAGAGTTTGAAATTGGGAAATAGGGGGTAGGGTGCTATCTCCACTCTCCTTTCCCCAAATCCCCCCTCCCTGGGCAAGCAAGAGATGGCTGCTTGATCCTTCACCCGCATGCAACGACAAGTCATCATGGTGAGAGGCTTCGAATCTATTGCTGCTTGAATGTGGATGAGAATTTAATCGTCTAATGTATCCATGTAGATAGACTAAGACCTTTTCTTAGTCTCTGACTTTGAAAGAAAGTTTTGAATTCCGCTTCTCTTACATGACTGCATGACAGAGAAAGCTGTCTAGGAATGAAGATGTCTTTAGAATACATTGCAAAAGATGAATACACCTTTTCTGCTCCCTTATTCGTTGTTTCAAGCATGAGAGCCGTATGTATGAGGATTCAGAGAGGAAGTATGGTTTACAATGCTGCACCATCAGTTTGCAAATGAGGTGCTTTCATGCACTCCAATCTTGCAAATATGCTAGAAACATTCAAGTATTTGCAGTTCAGATCCTCAAAAGCAACATCTTCACATATTTCTGCTTGAGCATGCATTCAAAATGCTCAAGGATCAACATGCTCCACTAGCTGTGGCGACATGGAAAGTCTGTTTCAACCACAGGATGAGAATCCTACAGCAATCAATGTGGCTTACTAGAGCTACAAGCATACATTGTGCATAATTAGGTTTATTTGCAACTTTTTGATGTATCTCTGCTATGCAGGCACAACGAAGAAACCAATGTGAGGCTTATTGTGCTGACCATTGCGCATGTATTTGATGCTACTTGCGGTTGTCATTGTAATTAGATTATTGCAAAGAATGATACCTCATGAATGTATAAAGATTTCTGCAATCAGATCACTACCACTTGTGATGTCGATCCCAAGCTTACAGTGAGTCGGAATGGTCTACAGGGGAAGCGATGTTTTCATCATCATTCAACCCCTGCATGCATTCTGCATTTATGTTAAATGAAAGAAGATACAGAAATGCTCTTTAGCATGGCCTCGAATGCAAGACTGAGATCACTTTATTTCACAATAGAACAGATAATACATGTGTGCATACTGTGTTGACGGTTCAAATGTCCGACATCACAGCTAGATGAACGCTCAAAACTAATCCCACGCATCAAGAAATCAACACACTCTGCAAATCTCAGAAGTGGAGACTCTCGACGGTGTTCAAGGCTTAAGATGTCTTGATTGCCTCTGGCGGCATCAGTGTTTACATGCAATCAAACATCCTCACTGCAGTAGGCGAAATGCATGCAGAAATCTTGTGAAACAATCTATGCAATGCTTGATGTCTAATATAACAAGTGAGCTTGACTAATTACGTGGATCTGCAACATGATGCAATCTCCATCAAACAAATCTTCAAGGCATCGCATGTGGAAAAGATGCAATTCAAAAATCATTCATCGCAGGGAAGTATCTTATGATTATTCTGCCATAAGGTTGGTGTCAAGTCAAAATGACAAGCGATCTCCTACACTGGATTCAAACCTCATGTTTTCATCATCTTGTTCTTCATAATAACGTTTTGAACCATGGATCTCACAACGCCATTGCTGCACACTCTGTTGTCACCGAAAGCATCACCACGAACCTAGCGGTCTCAGGTCTCAAACTGTGCTGACTAGAGAGCTTCAAACCTAACAAAGCCTTGCATGCTGAGATCTGATGCTGGCTACAGCAGCGGATGGTCTTACAGCGGCATCGTTGGAGGAGCAGCTTTGGTGCTACGTGCCGGCGTGTAGGGGAGACATGAGTCGGGCGTGTACGAGGTTGAAAACATTTCAACCCTCTGAAATGAAAGTTAAAATACATGTAAAGGCCTAGCAGAAATGATAACTAAACTGCACTGGTACTCTTTGGAGGTATCTCTTGCTGCCGTTGAAAACTTGTTTGAATTCACACGCCACCCCAAAAAAAACTTTCTCGAAAAGAAGAGTAGAAATTAACGAAAGGGCTAAAAGTGAACGGCATGTTCCTTCATCTCCATGACTCTCCTGGGCATCTCCTCGGTGTATGTCAACCATGAAGAAAAGCTGAAGAAGAAATTCGAAGAGATCGGACTGATCGTAGACTCAGTGCAAGAGAGTAAAGCAATCATGTGGAAGGCTCCGTATAGACCCGAGATGGGGGCGGGGTGG